AGGGCTGCTCTCGATCCTGTCATTCCCCAGCCTGTATTGATACCGGGGATTACCCCGACCCAGGTGTAGGACCTTGCACTTGGCCTTGTTGAACCTCATGAGGTTCACACAGGCCCACCTCTCCAGCTTGTCCAGGTCCCTCTGGATGGCATCCTGTCCTTCTGGTGTCTCGACCATACCACTCAGCTTGTTGTCATCTGAAAACTTGCAATAATACAGTCAGGGACTTAGTCACAGAAATTATGTCGTATAAAAGAATATTATACCATGGTCCTGCATGCTGATTCGCTTTAAAAAGAGTAGGTACAAAGTGCCGCTCCATAATGAAACGTCAAACTGCAGGGAGATTAAGGAGCCAATGATTTGACTAAGAGAGACATTTTCCCTAGAGAAAGGTGACTGTACATGGTATCTTTAGTAGAAAACACCAATTACGTGTGTAAGAGCAGTACCTAAAGAACCACCATGAGTGGGCCTTGCACCCCGGGGCCCTGTACTACTGCGCTGCCACTCTCAAAGCGTAAATAGGCTGCAAGGAGCAGGTTCAGCCAGCTGCCCACCACTGCATCTACCGCAAAGTGGTTTGATATGCTCACAGGGAATGCTGTCTTGTCAGCAGGCACACCAAAGTGAAAGTATTTCCATACCAGATACATGCATGTGTGATAGAGGGAGGAGCACAGATCTAGATAAAGGCTGACACGTTCACTGCAGAAAGGTGGTGGTATTGGCAAAGTCATCTGCCTGGACATAGAAATGCCCCACCAGCCCTGGCTCTGAAGAGGTGGGATGGGAAAGGGTAGATAGATACAGCGTTACCAACCACAAAGGACAAGGGTGGGGTGGGTACAACCCAGTGGGTGCTGCTATCCTAAAAACATAGCATCGTTGCAGAGATCTGTGCAACCTCAGCTTTTCAGATGAGTCAGCTTTCCGGTCTTTTTTATGCTGCTGGTCGTGCAGGAAGAAAGACTTCTCCAAGAGAAGAGGCATCCATTTATATTTTCGTCAGTCCTTCTCATATCCAAAGGACTGTAGCGTTGCAGTTACAAACAGAGCAATGTCAGTACAGCCAGCAAGGAAGAGACACCTTAACTTCACTTACAGAGGATAAGCAATCCCTAACCCCCACTCTGCCTGTTTAAGTAAGTGTGAATCAGTAACCAGCTTGATTTGCTCCCTAGCATTTGTATGTCAAACACTTCAGCTAACCTTAGGGCAGAAAGGGGGTTATAGCACCATTAGTGTGACAGTAAAGTATCTCACTTCCTCAGTAAAAATGCTATTCCGTATTATTTTAAGCTACTTTTATAGTTTTACAAGGTGTTGCTTCCTTTCTAGTACAGACACTTTGCCCCTACTATCCCCACATCAAAAATTCCTCCCACTAATGCTGTTCACCCAGTGGTAAGCCTTCAGTGGTGGAGGCAGATCTGCTAGCCTCTCACTCACGCTTTCTGACCTTGCTGAAACAGATTTCGACACCACAGTTGAACAAATACTGTTGCCCAGGCTATGTTAGCTCTCAGTGCTGAGCAGGTTATGGAGGTGCACCCAGCACACCCACCGAGTTTTCAAGGAATGATTCTCCAAGTCAAAAATAGAGGACGCTAATACAGCTGTACATTGAACTATTTCCTAAGTATCTTCTCAAAATGGTACAGAGAGAAATTCTCTTTTCAATCCTCATTTTCAGAGGTATGATGCACCTACCCTTCCCAGAAAATTCGGCTGCTGACATCCAAAGAGTCAGGTCAGCAGCTGTCTAAAGCATGCTTTCCACGAAGAGTGCTTTTTCAGAAATAAAGTGATCCACACTGGAGACTCTGCAGCAGAGGACCAAAGCACAATAACCTCGAAGAAATGTAAGATCATATTTCAGTTCCAGAGGACTCAGCTCAGAGTCAACATATTCTACTGGATATGTCCGGTCTCTTGGGCACATCTTGGGAACAGCTAAGCAAATTCTGGGCAGCACAAAGGGTTAACAATTTCACAGTGAGCAATCAGGCGCAACTGTATTTTTTTTTTTTTGAAAGACACATTTCAATATTTGTTTAAATGCTTTTTGATGTTTAACCTTTTCAGCAAGCGAGTGATAATTTGTAATTGAAACAACAGAACAAAGCCAACACGAGTCTTTGTTTGCATGGGATCTTTTAGGTAAAATACCACAGCTTCTGTATTTGCTATATAATAGTATGACAAACCCAGGGAGAAAGACAAGCTCCTTTGACATATGTGAGGCTTTGTATGCACCACTGTTAAAAACCAGGTTAGAAACGAAAGCTTTAAAAAAAAAAATCAAAAAGATGGTAAATGATAGCTTGTATTACAGAAGGCATTCAAGGAACAGCATCCTTGAAAAACTCATGAGGTAAAAAACACTTGGGAGAAAAGAGGACAAAATGCCTGGTGGCTTTTGTGGATCCCTTCTTCATATAGACATTTCCCATGGCTGAGTCATGCCAGTTTAATCAGCTCCCCCACACTAAATCCCTCTCTGCGCTGCGTTTGCTCACTACTCTGCATGCGTAAGCCCCTCGGCTCTATTGCTGGCTAAACATACCTCCCCCACTGCCTGGTTTGTTTTTGTGTGGCGGCACAGCGAGCTGGCCCAGCACAACTGGGAGAACAACGCAGAGGTGGAAATGAACGGCCAAACGCAGGAGCTCCTGAACACCTCTGTGAGGAACTCTGCAGGTGAGAGGCTTAATCACATCAAGATGACACGAGGCAATCACCCTTTTGTAGGCACAGAACTCAAATGCTTAATTCAAAGCTTGGCATTCTGTCACAGGCAGGTTCCCTGAAATTCAGCATGGCAGCAGGCAAGCTGAGGTGTAGCTAGGTTCTCAGACACTCAGCTGAACAAGACAGAGATCACTCTTTCAAGATGTTTTAATGCTGGTAAGTTCACCACACTGAACCAAGCCCCAACAGCAGCGCTGTCACCTTGCATTTCTGGGCACAGAATCAGATCTGTTTTTCTCAAACAGGGTTCAGAGCAAGTTGTAAAGCATCAAAGGTCAGCAGCAATTCAGTTCCTGATACTTACTACAAGCAAATCCTTCAGTTCAGCAATGGGCGCAAACATTTGCAAAATAGAAGCTGTTGTCACACCGTCCTGCAGGCAGGCAGCTGCCGCTAACTCAGGGGCTGCACAGAGACAAAGGAGCGAAGAGGGCTGTGTTTCTGAAGTGTCTGCCAAGTGCTATGTCAGTTAAAAACATCTGTTCCGTGGGCTTTCATGAAACTGCCTCTGTTGCGTTTGCTGATAAGTAACATCTGCACCTGGGAGATAACACTGCTGAGTGGCAGTCACTCTCACAAAATAAGCACTTCTTGTACACACCCTGAATGATGATATATAACAGGAGTATAATCCCCCTGAAATCAGTCATTGCCAACGTTAAACTGTCAGCCTATTAACTATCCTCAATGTTGCCTTAGAGCTCTTAACTGCTGGCTAGAACTGGTTTTCACAGGGATTATACTTACATAGAACCAGAGAAGGTCGAAATTAAGCTGTGGTGTTTGTTAGCAGGCAGACCAAAAAGTAACCATTTAAGTTCTCTGTAACATATTTGGTCCCAATCTTAAATAACTCTATTTGTGATGCCCTCAGAGACATATGAAGTCACTAAATTTGCACATAAGTATTTTCCACAAAAGTAATAAAAAAAACCCCACTACTTCCTAATTCCTTCATTTTTGAAGCTGCAAACAGATTTAATTAAAATAAACAAAAAAAAAGTTGGTGTCCACTTAGTGCCTCCATTATATAAAGAACAACTGAAAGTAGAAACCGAAGCTGTAATAGAACACGATGAGCATTTAACATTCTTGCAGTGAACTGAATCCCTTCAGACTACTTGCTTAGAAGCCAAGCATTATCTAATATTTCCTGAAACCCAAATTCATCATTCATGCTTTTTGATGAAAAATTAGACAAAGCCAACATCACTGCTTTTATTACAAAACGTAAATAAATTCAAAAATTGTAAATCTGAGTGTACAATTTAATTTAAAAATGAAGTCTCCCTGACAGTCCTCTATGAGCTGGTGTCAGATGTCGCTAAGGAAATAGATGAAGAACACGAAGAAGATGATGATGAATATTCATTATTTGCTGTTGATGCTTTTTCTTCATATTTTGGAGGTGATTCAGAGGAGAGGTATAGCATCGGTAAAATATCTGAAGGTGAGCTGCTTCCAGAAGTTGTACATATGGTTTCATAGTCTCTAACAGCAACTGTTCTTTCATCATCTGCAAGCTGTGCTCTATAAAAGACAAAACTGCATATTAGCATAATTCATTTCTCTACAGCGAGTGAAATTCCACTTGGCTTACATAAACACACATGTATGCACACACTCCCTAAAAATCCCTGAAGCAAAGGCCTTGCACAAGCATTAGCATTTCACTCTGTGGGCTACATTATGACTCACACAAAAATTCTGTTACTTCAGAGGGGAAGGGCAAACCAGCTCCCTTCTAACCTTTCACACCACCAGTCACAGCCTGGCTTACGGGTATTAGCTGCTGCTAGCAGGACCATCTCACAATCTTATTAAATCTTCTTCTGATCCTTAGAGCTCCTAATATATCTTCTCTTTTGAATTATATCACACACACACACTATCCCCTTCCCTTCTGAAAGACAGTTACTAGACTTAGAATTGCCTTCTAAAAATCACAGTCCTTAGGCATTTGAGATCTTACATGAAAGGCAACTTGAAACTTTTATTAAGCTTTCCAGCAACCCACGACAGACACAAGAAGTAGCCTTCCTGCTCAGAGCTGGAGAAACAGAAGCAACTGGACACGACCAGACTGCTAAGTTGCCAGGGACAGTAAGGAGGGCAGACAAGTGTTCGCTGCCCTCCTCCGACTGTCCTAACTGATCCCAGTTTGTTGTACCTGCGTGGTTCTGGTACCCTGCTCATCTTGCCCTGGAGCCGGCCTTCAGCGTATTATTTCAGCTGCTTCGCGAGGAAAGGGAAGAACTCGTTCCTCATGACTTGCTCCCAGAGCTGACTTTTGCCTTTGTGCATACATCTGTACCCTCATCATTACTGTGTGAGGAGCAGGAATACAGAGTGCAGTGACCTCATCTTCTGGGATCAGACCATGACTTGGCTTCCTACAAGCTCTCTGGTCCGGCACAGCCTCCACCACAGCACTTGCTGACAGAACATAGAGCAATGGACTGAAGAGGCAAATCACATTTGCCTAGTAACCATCCCTGTATGAAATGGCTATTTCCCTTCCAGCTTCGGGACCTTCAACCATGTCACTACGTTAGGAGGAACGAAGCCACTGCTTCTCCATGAAAGGGCTTGGGAAGCAATCTGCACTAGTCAAGAGGCCATGGCTGCTACCAAGTGCTGAGCCATGGGAGAGCAGGATCGTGTGAAACACCCAGAGGTGGTATTAACTCATGGGGTCTCTGTGAGCACCCTGGGGAGCATGGAAGGGTGGCAGCCAGAGCACCCCCAGCCACAGAACACCAAAGCAAGCAGTCAGGGTTTCTGCATCCAAGGTTGGGGTGTTTCGTCCATTCCACTAGAAACTGCCCCAACAAGTTGCGCTACAAACTGCCTCTTTGTGTACATATGTTCGCCAGACATAGTCATCCAGACAGGCAACCAACGATGACTGAGTTGATAGGATCACACACAAAGTTCAGAGCACCAGAACTGGACATTTGCAGCTTGAGGCAGCTGATCCAGCTGCAGGGGATTTTGTAAAAGAATGGGTGAAGGGAAGAGTGATCACCTGGTATGCGCACCAGCAGGCAGAGCCCACAAGAAGTCTGAGGAACTAGCCTTTTTTGCTATTCCTCACTGCCCTTTGGTTTTGTGGTTTTTCTTCTTTTTTTTTGTTGTTTTTTTTTTTTAAGTGGAAGATGTGCTGCTTGCATCCTTTCATACCCTTTGATAATCCACACCTTTTACCAAGCACATGGGCAGGGAGCCCACATCTGAACTCAGGGCCTGAAAATACAGGGCAGAGAAGACTTGTCGCCTTCAGTTTTGTGCATTGTACCTTTACAGATAGGTGGTACAAGAGTCACTCTCTCTCTCAGCTGCTTGTAAGGCTACAGCAGAACATGTATGTTCCCATATTTTCCCAAGTTATCCACTCCATACCGGTCTTCTAAATGTATTTAAACTGAAATGTTTTTTGAGGGTGCCCTTGGACCGTATTTGAACTGACTCTCGGGTCTACCAGAGGTCTGAGTTCACACTCAGGGCAAATCATTTCTCCACACACAGCCATTTGCTTTGTGTGTACATGTGGGATGTACATGCCAGAAGGGAATTACAGCGGATGCTGGAGCTTAGCACAGACAGGCTCAGTGTGGTGCCTAACTCCAGGACTAGAAGCAGCTGGTATGAAATACCTTCCAGCTGTGGATGCCTTCACCCAGCCCAATAAGAACACTAAAACTTCATGTAAATTCCCACTTGCAGCAGCAGGAGCTTGTTTTCTCTCCTGTTTGCTGTGGGTGTCCTTTGATGGCAGTAGCATAGCTCTGAGAGCTGATGTATTTCACTTGCCAAATGAGAACAGGCAAAGACTTTCCTACTTAAAAATGTTTCTTCACACAACAATTGGTGCCTGGTCATGAGATCCACTGTTCTCTGTAAAGCACTTTTGCTTGATCAACCCCAACATCTTCTCATCCCTGCATCTATCCTTGTCACTCTGAATCCACAGGTGTTTAGGGCACTGAGTAACCAACAGATTCTCATCAACTCTGTGGAACAATTCAAGTGGAAAAACAGCAGACTGAATGAATTACATATGTAGCTAGGGTTTATTAGGTGTTACATCCCTCAGCACAAGTCATCAACTCAAATTTGAACCTCAGTCACTGGGAACCAAACACTGAGTGTCACCCTTCCCTAGGAGGCATGTACCTGACCATTTTTTTTGTCTGGGTGACCAGTCACACTGTGCACTAGAAGGCGTTGCACTAGTAGCAACAAAGAGCGAGTTGGGTTTTTGACAGAGTTGTTTATTCGATGTTAAAAAAAAAAAAGGTGATTTTGAGAAAAGGCAGAAGAACAGTCTGGCTTGTGGTAATAGCAACAGAAATAGACATCTGCCATTTCCAACAAAGACAGGGAGAAAATGTTTGGAGGAGGGCACTAGGAAATGAAAGACAGTATGAGGAGCTGTTGATGGTGATTGATTAGAGAACAGAGTGCCTCGCACAGTAGGGCTCAGCCTCAAGAACCCACCAGGTATACTTCAAAGGATGACTAAAAAACCACAGACATGGCTGCACGCAGCGTGGTAACAGGAATAAGCACCACTGCTAACAGAAGTATCCTCCTCCTGTGGCATTTAGGTCTTTGGGCAGGAAGAGGGTTTGTACTTGCTTGCTTCAAAAGGGAGATTAGCACTAGAGTTTAGAAGAAATACCGACATCAGGCACACAGCTGGTACAGCTGGTCATGGAACACACTGCCTCATATGAGTGGAGAAGTCTGTCACACAGTGGAAAGCTATTAAAGCTATGGCCCAACTGGACACAGCCAGGAAGGCTGGGCTCTTGCTGCAGTGCTGGTGCTTAGGATGCTGCAGGTACAGTCTTGTAAACTGAAGTCACCCAATGAAAATGTCCCACACCACCTACTGACTCACAGACCAGAAACATGCTGACACAGGACCTTCCAAAAGGTAAAGCCAAGTCAATTCTGCATCATTAAGAGTCTGAAAATAAGTTCAGGGCTCTGGGCACGTAGCTCTCCTGGTCAGACCTAGTTCTGGCTCCTAGTATGTGGCCCTTGCAGTGACCTCTTTCACCCTCAAGTTCACAGCCCACTGGTGGTAACCCCCAGGGGACAAATAATGTTGCAAGTTTTTGTGGTGCAGGCAACTCTTCAGCCAGTTGGCAGCTCTTGCTCCCTGAGCTTGGTGGTGGCAGCATCTATCAGATCAGCTGTACTCAATGTATCGGCTGCATGGGTAGGGTGAGACATTTTGAGATGAAGTTGGCATTGCAACCCCCCTTTTAAGCTCCCTAGAGCCTCCTGCTCTTCTCCTGCAATATCAAGGTATCCTTTCACCTCAACATATCACCACGGCAGGAACAAGGCAGATCAGCATGGTAGGTCTCACTTCCTCAGGGCAGTGACATAAGGGTCACAGGGAGAACAGAACACACTGAAATGGCATTCCCAGGGTCACACGACCTGTGGATAGGTGCCACAAAGGGCTCGCTGCATTGGTTCTACAGCGATTACCTAAAATCCGGCAGTGTGGATATGCCACTGTGGCACTGCTGTCAGGGGCACCTTCTCTCGGACAATCTGTGGAACAAATCTAATCTAAGCATATTTAAATAAAGGCCACTGATGTAAGGCTTTATTTTCACTTCAGAAGTTCTTTTCAGTCATAATAAACTGGCAAGAATTTAGACCTCATGAAACACACCCTGTGGTTTGTGATTCCCCTTTTATAACAGGGTATTTCAATGTCATTTCAAGTAAGATATCTGAAGTCAGTTGAGTGATGGACTAGGAAACTTTGTAGTGCCTAGTAGAGAGTTAATTCACAGTGATTATTGAAGAACATGGTATTGGATACCTTGAGAAACATCTTGGACTTCCCAAAACAGAGAAGAAAGCAGTCTTACCCATTGCTGAAGATGGAGTGGTATGGTGGAGGATTTTCACTTGCTGGCAAACCACTTGACATAAGACAACGTGTCACTGTTGGTGACACAGGGTCAGCAAAATAAGGAGGTGGTGGAGGTGGGAATACCATTACAGCATCACCTGGGAAAAAACCCACTAATTACTACCTCTGAAAAATTGAGCACCACTGTTTATTCTAATTGTATCCTAGAATATTTCCTGTCTTTGGAATCACAGTATTTATACTTGTCTACCTTTTAAGATAAAGTGCAAAGATCCCACATACAGAACTGTTATATTCTGGGCTGTTAAAGTACATTGGAGGTATATTCAAAACCAAAATTATCCCAAAATAAAGATGCAGCATATTCATAAAACAAAGATTTCAATTAGAAAATACAGCTGGGGAGGGCAAGAGTTCCATCTAGCTAAGAGACACAAACCTCTTCACTGTTGGCTGTCTTTGGAAACTGGAAGTGCAAAGCACACAGTTACTGTTGGCTCACTTTGAGGGTAGGCAAGTGCTTAGTTTTCCTCATATATCTAAAATAGGGCAGTTTAAGTTTCTCCACATCTACTGCAGTGTTAAAACAAAAGTATTCAAGTCATTAATGGGTCTGATGACTGATTTTGTGCACCTTTACAGTTTCCATACTAAATCACTCAGAGCTGAAGGCACACTACTAACATTAGTACCACAATGCTACTGAAATATAAGTCACTATTAAGTGTACTGTACAGCATATTTGCCAATTTCAACTTTGTAATTGAGGCATTTCAAATTTTTTTTTTAAACAGAAAGTTTGTATCGGTCACTGAGCTTGCATAGTTTATAAAAACATTCACAGCTGCTTGGCACCTTTGTTCCTTTGTAATTTGTGTGCTAGGACAGCTCAGGGAGCATCAGAAACGCTGAGTCAGGTGGAGGGTGTTATCTAGCTGAGTCACCACTGTTCCAGAACATCACTATGCTAACAAGACCTCAGCCTTCAGCCTTTCAGTTTTACTTTTTCTGATGGAAGTATAACAGGAACCTGCTAATTTTACTTTCTCACCTTTAAACACCACCTGAATTTCTTTCTACGATCCTTTGAACTGACTTTAAACCCTCACATTTTGAGGATCACTAGGTTACAGGTCTGTACACTGGCTTGACAGGCAGAAGGAAAAAAGTTCTGCATAACTAATTTCAAGTCCAGTCAGTTAGATGACAGTCAAGCAATGCTACGATTGACTCATTAATCCTTTCTGAGAGCTAGAAAGTTATCAGAATAATCTATGCATAGAAGGTATTCATGGGGTATTAAAAGCAGTGCTATACACAGGGGACATATCACATTTACCCAAATACAGTTCAATTAACAATCATCTTGTGATTATACATCTCTGACTGATGGAAGATGCGGCCATTATTAAAAAAAATACAGTACACTGCTTAAACAGGAAAATCTGATTCATAAGCAGTCAGAGCTCATGGCTACAATAAATCTTAAATACAGTGACAGAAGTCATTTGTAGTATCAGTTACAGTAGTGAGTTGTAGTATCAGTTACACCCTTTGGGAAAGGAAGTGGGCTTGGACTCTGTGTCAGATTATGTGGCTTCTTTTGCACGGAGTCACACCTTTCGTTTTATGCCAAAGGAGAGGTTTTGTCTCCAAGAGAAAGGTAACTGAAGTGACCATACAGAAAGCATACAAGACAAAACACCATTCTTCTGTTTTGGCTGGTCTGACATGCCAGAATGGACATGCTTAGACCTCAAATCAGTAATATTAAGAGGTAAATCATTGGTGGAAAAAACCCCCATACTTATTCTCAAATGTAGAGTTCACACATTATTTACCCACCTACTGTAACCTGAAAAGATTCAGGGCTCTGCGGGTGTTCTTCATTTTCACAAGATTCTTGGTTGAGATTTAAGTTTTGTTTCTTTTTAACATGAGCTATCACGAAGAAACACAACCCAGTGAGCACAATCAAAGGTCCCATGATTTGAAGTGACAGGAATCCACAGCCCTGGAGGTCCACATCAGAACTGCCAGTGTGGTTGAGCTGCACGCTCTGCCAGCTGGTGCTGCAGCCAGGAACCCAAATGCCCAGGATGCTAATTAGCATTCCACTAGTTAAAAACAGGAATCCAAATATGAGAAACTGGGCAAACTGACAGCTTCCATGACAAAAAACAAGGCTGTACACCTGCTCATTTTGCAATTGTCTTTGTCTTATATACAGCCTGGCTTTTGATTGTGCCAGTAAAACACAAACAAGTCCAGCTACAGCCAGCACAGGCCCAGCAGCCTTCAGGACCTTGTTACAGTCACTGAAGGTTCCAGATGGGTACGACTGTAGAATAAAGACTGAAAGCAGGAATCCAGCGCAAAGCAACACAGCTCCAAAAACAAAAAGGAAAAAAATAAGTCTTCCATGTTGTGCATTATTTCCTTCACCTCCTGGTGCAGGAACAGCCATTGGATACACCACAACAGAATCTCCTCAAGCAGATGAGTCGGGATTTTTTTCCTGTTAGCATTAAGTGGCAGAAAACTACAGTAGATCTGTGAACAAGAAAACACATGAATCAAAAGAAGAAAAAAAAAACAGAGCAGTGGAACTAGCTACATTACAATATTTACTTCTGCATTTGCTACTCAGCCTACATTGTATACCCTTGGCATATTTTCTGTTTTGTAGTACCTCTATTTTGGACTAGAGGGCCTAATCAGGTCTGCTGCCATCGAATGCCAATGAAAAGACAACTTGCTTTACAGTTAAGACTGAAAACACCTGTAATTGCTGTTGCACAGCTGAATTAATTGTTTCTTTAGATTCACAGTCTTATCATTAAGGGGACATTATTTTCAAAGGCTGAATCTTGGAAACAAGGACAGGATAGCTTTCCCCTTGAAAACAGAAAGCTAGGGGAAATTTCTGTAGTGAATGGCAGGAAGTGACAATTCTTGAAAGAACCTTCATGCAAATGAGCATTGATGACTATTGGACTTTTTACCAAGTCAATCTTCCAATACATACCTTTTCAAAGCATATAAATCTTGCTTCTCCTTCCACAGGCAAAAACTTTTCTGTTTCTTTCCTTAGATCAGCTTCCTGTTCTACACAGATGCAAGAGCAAGTGTACAGAAGATTTTTGGTTCCGCTCTGGAAAGAAAAAAAAGGGAAAAGAAAGAAGCCATAGTAAAGACTGTGTACTTCAAGTCTCACTAGTTCCATAGAGTTGGTGAGCATACTGCTCACACTTCATTTCAACTTCCCCTGCTCCTGAATACTTTGTCTATGTTCCATGAAAGCTTTAAAAAGAAATATAACCAAGGTGCCTTCCAGAAGGCTTCTGAGCCCACAGGAGTCTAGATTCAGAAGTAAACCAGAAGAAAACAGAAACTACGGCTGATGCCAATAACAGTCCATATGGTAGTATGGATGACAAGTCTGCTGGATGTGGAGAAACCAGGACAGGGCAAGCCTAAAAAAAGTTAGGACAGAGTGCCATTCAGCGAGCTCTAGGAAAAAAACAACAAAAAAAAAATCTGCCATTACCCACAAGGAAGCTTGTGCTGCTCTTGCACTTTGGCCTACACCTGTACTCCACACCACAGTGACTAGCAACCACTAAGATCTTGGTCCAAATGGCTACGACCCATCAAAGGCCAATCTGAAATCCAGGGGAATTTCAGACCATGGAAAATAACAAATCTGGATGGACCACGAAAAAGCTGCCACCTACCAAGTGTAGGAGGTACT